CTGTCAGGGGCTAGAGAGCTTACCACTAGGCTTAGCGGGGCTCTCTTTTGTCACATTAGAGCAGTCATATTAGCATGGTCGGACAGAATGTTGCAGGCTATAGCTACAAATACTTGTATGTGATCTCGAACTTGTCAGTAGGCTACATGAGAGGTAAGATTTACAGTCCAGCGATAGCTAGTGATCAACGTACAGATGCGTTCTGTCATCAAAATAATAGGTGACACTTTGTATCTTGAATTTGAACTTTTACCGACACTTATAGCGGTCACATATTTTTGTAAATGAGAAACGCTAGGTATAGCGTCAATTCACCTAACCCTAAACTTGCCAACTCTAGTCATATCCTCTTGTTATTTTTCGAATAAGGCTTTCTAGAAAGCATAGGGTGCTCAACATATAACTCTTTCAAGAAATGGAAAAGAATGACGCAATACTCTACCGCGGGCCACAAGATCCTCTCCGCAAGAAGAAAGTTCTATCTATTATCACCTAATAGTTATTCCGTAAGGGATTTTCCAGATTTTTCAAGGCGGAACTCGCGTCAAGTTTTGACTGTTTCGCTGTAGATTTTCCTTGTCAGGTGCAACATTGACTAGCTTAGCAGTCAACAACTCTGATGTCACGCCGGAAAAGCCGGTACTCTGCTTCAGACCATATATATATATATTAAATATAAAGTAGCAGAGTTGCGAGCAGGCTGACTAGTAATACCTACTCGAAAATCGAGCAACGGTAGAACGCACTTGAATCCGCGCGTGGGCGCATGTGAATTGATTAGCTAATCAATATTATCACTCCGAAAAGATACCTATATTTTGTGAAAGTATCGACACTCTAACCTTCTTCGGACGAGTGTCTTATTGGACTGTGCTCATCCTTATCTTTGCCTATCTTTACAAGGTCGACTCCCCATCCACCATCCACACCTACCAGCGCATTATATTACCACCTACGCTACTATCGTGTATCTTGTATGGATGTACACCTAAGTAGTGTCCATTCTCAATTCAACATATCGTTGAGCACATATCTTAGGCCATGCCACTTCATCCTCGACAGCACAAGTCTCATAGCGGAGTTTCCCGCTGTTCATAACTGGTTGGAGACGGTGAAGGCGATTCCGGAGATAGTGGCGGGAAGAGTGGGGAGGGAAATGATTAAACCGAAGAAGATTTGGGCAAGATACGAAGTAGACGGAAAGGCATTGTCGATACAATGTTAGGAAGTGTATGCATCACCTTCACAGAGGAGACGAGATAAACGAGAAAATATCGTGGGTGCAGCGTTATCGAGAGTCGAGAGCAATTGAAATTCTGGTTATCTAAGTGGGATGAGCCCTTGCACACATGCCTACGCACGAAGGCATTAAGTAACTACGACCTATACTTCATCCTTATTTGTGATAATAGTGTCCCCATCTTTTGTCCCCGGTCGGCAAGGTTACTCGGGGTCAAAGAATAATCGTCGCAAAAGGAGGAGCATGGCCGAAAGTGATTAGATTTGATTGGAAAGCATATGGGCCTATCGATCTAGAATACGCATCTTACGAGGTCAAATTAGTTAGTTCATGACCGGATTCAAGGACGGCCAGGCTATTGGAGTTTGTTGAATAACATCCTTGAGCCTCGGTCAAATAAATACCTGTCTGCCCCATGCGGTGGGGCCGATATTAGAGCAAGATCATCCACCTTTTCCTTAACTGCTTATCATACAGCATCCCCTTTATTGGTGCAAGGTCCAACTCCGTCGCACTACTGTACCATCCGTTAAAAAGAATCCCGTTCTGGGGAGTTATCCGGCCAGCTCCAACTCTGTCGCACTACCATCCCATAATCAGCTTAGACTAAGAGCTGATCTCGGTGGTCTGCCGCCAAGTGGCTAGTCTCCTCCTGCCGGGCAGCATCCCAAATCGGATTGTCGAAAATGTGACGCCTTTTCTTATCAGCACTATTCCCGACAAATGAGGGGATGATTGATTCTTGTTCGCAGTCCTCAGAGTCTAGAGTCTACACGGCATATTTGCGTCGAGGAGGCGACGTTGAACTGAGGCGTTAATATGCCGAGCAACCGTACTTCAAAATTTCATATCAATATATAATTGCCATAATGATGTAAATGTGCTATGCCATTGCTGGTCTGGCAGCGCAATTCACAAGTTCAGCAACCCACAATACTCTTATCGGCCGCCTATGGGGGCTCTGTGAATACCCATGCCATGTGATGTTTTTGCATGGTGTATTGATACGTTTTATCTGTGGAGCCTATCAACAGTCCCCAGCCTGTATCTCTATAACCCTGGTCTGCTAGTATGTTGTATCAGCGTGTTTGTATATAGGTAACATCAGTCTTCAGTTAAAAGCAGCCTTTTGATTTTCGACAGATTGATCCACAACTCTTTCTACTTCCTTAACCTCTCCTGTCACCTAAGCCCTGTTCCTAGAATGGCTTCTGCTGTAGACCATGATGAGCGTGATTGGCCGCCTGGAACTGTCAGACTGGAAGGCAAGTAGAACTCATTCTAACTAGTGCTAGGCTGTACTGTTACAGCCCAATTATCAGAGGCGGATATGGCTCGGCCCATGTCAAGAACCCGATTATGTACATGCTAACTCGGATTCTAGATCTTTACCACGGAAACGAGGTCATTCAGCAACCACGTCCTAGTACGGACCCAAACGACCCGTTGGTGAGTGTTAGAACCACTTTGTACAGTGAAGATTGCTAACAGTGATTAGAATTGGGTCAAATGGCGCAAATACCTAAACCTCACTTTGGCGTGTCTCTACTGTATTTTTGTTTGGACAGAGTAAGTATAGTCTTCTCGGATGTGCTTGAGTACTGATTCCCGTTGCGTAGCATCAATATTGTGACCGTGACATGGGGACCCATGAATGATGGCGACGACCTAAAGAATGGCTTCAGCTATGACTATTTGAACGACAGTTATGCTTCGGGCTGTGCAGCCTTGGCAATCGGTAGCCCATTGTTGATCCCGTTTGCACTCAAGTACGGCCGCCGCCCTGTCTATGTCTTTAGCACTCTGGCGCAATTCGCCATCGCAGTCTGGACCGCCAAGCTGCAGACAAAAGGGGATCTAATGGCCGTCAACACTCTCAATTGTCTGTTCGGAAGTCTTGCAGAAGTAATCGTGCAGATGACTGTAGCCGATGTCTTCTTCGTCCACGAGAGAGGACGTATGAACAGTTGGTATCAATGGGCCTTAGCCTTTGGCAATTTAGCCAATATCGCAGGCGGCTATGTGACTGTAAACCAAGGATGGCGTTGGGTCTGGTGGTGGATGGCCATATTCTTTGGTATTTCGTTCATCGTCTATGTCTTCTTGTTCGAAGAGACCAAGTTCTGCCATGTTTACAGTGGAGTCAATCCTATTGACCTTCAAGACCCTATTGCAATCGATTCTGCGACAGATGGCAAACCAGCCTTATCGGACTCGAAGACTCAAGAAGCGACGAGCGCCTCAGAGGAAAGAAACCTCTCTCACGATGGTGAAGTTGACCCGAGTACGGTGAACCACCACACCTACAACGTCCAGATCGATCGGTCTATTCCATTGAAATCCTATCGGTCTCGCCTAGCTCTGTGGTCAACATCGAGTAGCTCGCTGCGAGGACTATTCCGACACAGCTTTCAGCCTCTCATGATCTGGGCCACCATACCATCTGTGTTCTATTTCACACTTGCATATTCCATTACTGGTGCAACGCAAACTATCATGATCACTGTCCTGTCCGAGTATCTCTACGACGCACCTTATAACTTTACCTCTGCCGGCGTTGGACTTATGTCGATTCCGGGATTCATCGGGGGCTCAATCGGCCTCCTGATATGTGGGCCGTTGAGCGATTGGGGCATTCTTTACCTTGCTAAGAGAAACAAAGGAATTTATGAGCCAGAGATGAGACTCTGGGTTATCGCCGCATTCGTCCCCTTCGTACCAGCCGGTCTACTCGTGTTTGGTATCGGCCTAGCGAATGGCAGCTCTTGGCCTGTTCTCGCAGTTGGATGCGGCATTCTGGCTTTCGGTTTGTCACCAGCAAACAGTATTGCCTTGACATATCTTACAGATTCTTATACCAATGTCAGTCAAAATGGGCATGACGGGGTTACACTTGCTGACTAGCCACTAGATTATCGCTGACACCATGGTCGGCATCACTATCATCCGCAACCTCGTCGCTCTTACCTTTGTCTTCTCCATAAGCCCATGGGTTGACGGAATAGGCATTACCAATGTTTACATCATGCTAGCAGTCCTCAACACTGTTATTCTGCTTTCTGTAGTTGGATTTATCTACTTTGGAAAGAGAATACGTGTCTACACCGCGAAGAGCTATGTCTACTACAGTAAGCGACAAGTCGACGCTAGAGCTATATAGAGGGTGGATGTTAGGGTCAACTCTAAAGTAGAAAAAGCCAATATAGATTGAATGAGGAGGTTTAGCCTGACCGCAAGGCTGACCCTAACTTCATACATTATTGACTTTACTACTTCTTTCCGACCTTAAACTGCGTCCACATATTAGCCCAACGAACCCTCCCAGCCATTCTTGATAGTTATTTCCAGCCAGAAAACTCGCTCTCCTATATCCATCTTTGCCCATATCTCCTTGACAATATCTAACGCAATAGCTATCGACTGCAGTGCGATAAACTTGACGTACTGCAATAGCTAAGCCTAGAGAAATCCCTGCCCATACATAGATCCTTCATTTTGCTTATCGTTCAAGGCTGTATCTCTGGATACAAGCTTGACTTATATACCTAAGCATAATTCGTTCACCACCATAATCAATATAAACAACCATAAGCCGTCCACCCCACCACAACCACCACATTTCATCCGTAAGATCATCAAGTCCTCCTTCCTGAAGCTTGCTCCATCTCTACTGATTGAATACTGACCTTTGCGTGGTTCAGAAATCTCGAGAATTGAAATGGCGAGCTCCGCTCCTCCCCGCGCCGCTCCTCCTGCCGCTCCCGCTCCAGCTCCAGCTCCAGGCCTGCCCATTGCTCCGGTGGCCTACCTTCGACGCTCCGTTGTCTGGGGGCGTATCCAGAAGGTCGACCCAAAGGCTTGCAAAAGCCAGGGTCTGAAGGATGCGCTCGTGGAGAAGGCCGCGAGCGCGGCCTGCCGTCAGCTGCTTCGGGACAAGAAGTCCCCTGCCGAGGTGGACGAGGAGTTCTTCCGGTTCTTCGTGGACCGCTTTCTTTGGGCGTTTGGGGTTAAGCCCGCCGAGGCTTTCCCCTGGTTGGGAATGGAGGTTCCCTCCTCCGGCTTGGTTTGCGCCAAGTATCGAGAGTACTACAAGTGGAACGCTCCCTTGGAGATTCCCAGTCTGGCCACGCGCCAGAAGTTGTGGGCTGAGTTATGCCCCAACAAGCCCCTACTCTCGGGTTTAAGAGAGTTCGAGGTACGGGTAGAGGCCTCGATCCTGGACCTGGGCGACGACAAAGTCGTTCGGTCCATTCAGGACATGCTGCCAGAGGGCGTGGCTGTGGCCATCGAGCCCCTGGCCAAGGACAAGCCGGGTAACGGCAACAAACTCATCGTTGGCCTCCGCCATGATGCCGAGCTTGTTGGTCGCATTGGGCGACGCAACAAGCTCAATCTCCTTCGTCTTTGGAACCAGCTCATTGGCTGGAAGAGTTTCGTGTCTAGGGACATCCCTAGCATGAACTTGGAGCGATATCTCGATCGCGAAATTGAGATGGAGCTCTCCTTGCTGAAGGAGCCGGCCTTTGACGAGGAAGGCGATGAGCGTATGCAGGAGCTGACCACCAAAGTCAGCGCCCTGGAACTCAAGTCTCAATATGAGGCTCGAGTTGTCGATTCAATCGGCCCCATCGTCAAGCCCGACGAGGAGGAGAAGCCCATGCAGCATAAGCTGCAAGAGGTCCTGCAGTGGGTTAATGATAACCTTGGCCGCCATGCAGCGGCATACGCTGGCAGCGTATCCCCTTGGTCTCGTATAGGGCGCACGGACGGAAACGAAAAGACTGGGGGGTAGATATCCTTTCGGAGGTAGGAGGTAGATATCCCCAGGTTCCCATACGATAAAACGGCTGTAAATCGGATTAGATGAGAGAGGATAATAGTATGATAGTAGATATAAGAGTATATAAGCTATGAAGGTATGATAGTGAAGATATAGGTAGTTGAAGTTTGGGTGTAGATTTTGGTATGGTCTGGTTAGGGTTAGAAGTAAAAGAGGAGAAGAAAGGAGGAGAGAGGTATATGAAAGATAATTTTAACCTTAAGAGTAGAAATAACCTTAAGATAAAGAAAACCTTATATAAGTGTTAGCTTTAGACTATCTTATAAATATAAGGTTAAGATCTAGCTATAAAATCGAGATGTTATATCTATTATTATATAACGATAGAGGTTCTAGTCGTATAGTATGATATAATATAATATGAAAGATATAATCTTAAGAATATACTATATTATATAATAGCTATAAGGTAAAAGGCTTGATATAATATAAAAAGAAGAAGAGTTATATAACTAACCTTCAAATAAGGCTTGATAATATAATGATAGTATAATATATATTGATATTATAATTTGCTTCTTTATGTTAGCAAAGGAGTATATTATGGCGATTTATAAAGCTTTAGGTTCGATTTTTAGCTAAGTTAAACTTTTTTTTCTT